CTCCCTGCTCCCCAGCACCCCCTACTGAGCCCCCCCGCTCCCGGCTACACGGCTCCCCCACCCAGTAGGAGCTGAGCAATATGCTGAACACGGAGAGCTTGATGCTGGTCTCCATGTGGCGCTGCAGGTCCAGGGAGCCCTCGGTGTCCACCAGGAACACGGCCACCTGCAGGGACAGACACACGGACAGATCCACCGGCCACTGCGATGGGCGCCCCGTGCTGACGCCACCCTCACCCCTGCCCAGCCCTGGCACCTCTGCTGCCCGGCTCCCTGGGGCCGGCCCTGGGCACGCTGGTTGGAGACAGGCCCTGGGGGAGGAGGTTCAAGCTCTGAGCACCTCCCACCCCCAACTCCATCCCAGTATGTCCGTAGGGAGTCCCAGGGCCGGGACCCTGCCCCCTTGCTCTGCTGTCCTCTCCACCCTCCTCCCCCCTCCCCCCCCCCGTCCAGACCCTCCAGTCTCCCAGTCTCCCAACCCCCACACAGGACTTTACCGCCAGACTCCTCCATTCACCTCCCCCCTCCCTCAGTACTCCAGCCCCCCTGCCCCCCTTAGAATCTTCCCCCCACACCACCCTCATTCCCCACCCCTATGGCCCCATCCCCCATTCCCCTGCCTGCCTCCCTGCCCCACTCACCCTCCTCCCCTGGGCCTGGACCCAGAGGGGCTGGTTCCACATCCAGACGCCCCTTGTCACGGTCGTCCTCCCATTGCAACATTCAAACCCCCCCAGGGCCTCGTCCTCTCGGCCCATCCATGATGCATCCGCAGCCTCCTGTAGGGGGTGACCAGGGCAAGGTCAGAAGGGAACGGGGTTTGGGTCTGGGGTTCTGAGGGGGTAGGGGGTAGGACACTGGGGGAGGGGGTGGGCACCTGGGGGTCATGGGGAGGGGCCATGGCTGGAGGGTGAGATCTGCTATGCAGGGGCGGGACCATGGCTGAAGGGTGGGGTCTGTGGTGCAGGGGGAGGGGCCATGGCTGAAGGGTGGGGCCTGTGGTGCAGGGGGAGGGGCCATGGCTGTAGGGTGGGGTCTGTGGTGCAGGGGGAGGGGCCATGGCTGTAGGGTGGGGCCTGTGGTGCAAGGGGAGGGGCCATGGCTGCAGGGTGGGGCTTCAGTTGCTCTGCCATGGGCCTGGTAAAGGGGAGAGCTCTGGCTAGGGAGACGGGACCTTTGCTGTAGGGGGCATGGCCTATCTTTGCAGGGGAGGGGGCCCCTGGTGGAGTGGGTGGGGTTTGTGTTGAAAGGGGCAGGGCCCTGGCTGGGGTGGGCGGGGTCTCTGGTTCAGGCAATTCGGCCATAGCTGGGGCTCCCGTCCCCACTCACCTGGCACTGGAGCCGGTGCAGCAGGCAGTTCATCAGGAAGGATTTGCCCCTGCGTTGCTCCCCGATGATGGACACCAGGCAGACGGGGGCGTCCTCCACCCCACCCTGCTCCAGGCAGTGGCTCAGGGCCTCCTCGTCCAGGGTCAGGCCCCCTTCCTCGTCCGGACGCACCAGCTGCACCGGGCGTGCCGGCTCTGGCTGAGCCCCCGGACCCTGCTACAGGGAGAGAGCAGGATCAGAGCTGGGACCCCATCCCAGAGCCAGCCAGTCCCTGCTTCTGGATGAGAGCCCCGTGCCCAATTTCCACCCCCTGAGCCAGTCAGTCCCCTGCCCTGGGCCAGTGGGAGCCTGCGCCTCTTCTCCTTATCCGGCCTGTCTGGTCTCACCGGCTCCATCTCTTCCCGCAGGGGCTCTGTGATTTTCTCCACCAGGGCTCTCAGCCGCGTGTCTGGGGTCATCCTGTCCCTGGAGCAGGGAGCCCGGCACTCGGGGCACTGGTAGCCCTGGACCGAGACCCCATGCCAGTGAGCCATGAGGCAGCCCTGGCAGAAGTTGTGGCCGCACTCAATGGAGACGGGGTCCTCCAAGACATCCAGGCAGATGGAGCAGGTGACGTCCTCCCGGAGTCGCTCCATCCCTCTGGAGCTCATTGAGAGTGGGGATGCGGTGGGTGAGAAGTGGCACTCGGGAGCAGAAGGGCTCTGATAACGTCTGATCTCTAGCCCAGGTGTGCCCCTTCCTGACAGCAGGAGTCTGGAAGGGAGGGAGGAGAGAGAGAACATGGGAATATTTCTGTGAACAAGCTGTGTGACTCAGTTTACCTGCCCATTTTGTGTCCCTGTCCCCGGGGTGACACCAGAGCGAGAAGACGGATTCCAAGAAGCCATGGCAGTGATTGGTAGATTCCCAGGCCAGGAGGGACCAAGGCTGAGCTCCTGCATAGCAAAGGCCAGAGAACTGCCCCCAGTTAATTCCTGTTTGAACGAGAGCAGATCTCCTAGTAACACATCCCACCTCTATGGAGAATCCACCGCGCTGCTTGGTACATTGTTCCCATGGTCAGTTCCCCTCCCTGGTAAACACGGATATCTTCTTTCCAGGCTGAATGTGTCCGGCTTCAACTTCCAGCCAATGGATCACGTTACAGCTTTCTCTGCTATCCCGAAGAGCCCATTATTAAATATTGGATCCCCGTGTAGGTGCTTCAAGACTGGGGTCAAGTCACCCCTGGAGCGTCTCTTTGTTAAGTTAAACAGCTTGAGCTGCTGGTGTCTCTCACTCCAGGTCATGTTTTCTAACCTTTTAATCATTTCTGTGGCTCTTCTCTGACTCCTCTCCAATATATCCCCATCCTTCCTGAACTGCGGGCACCAGAACTGGACAGAGGACCCCAGCAGCGGGCGCACCAGGGCCAAATCCAGAGGGGAAATCACCTCTCTGTTCCTGCTCGCAGTTCCCCTGTTTATGCATCCTTAGCTCCTTTGGCCACAGCGCCACATGGGGGGCTGACATCCAGCTGGTTATCCCCCACGACCTCCTGCACTCTGTCTGTGTCCCCGGAGAGACCCCCCCAGCCCAGGGGCATGGCCAATGCTCTTTGGCCGTATCACAGCACGTGTTGCTGGCTTGTGCCCAGCCTACCCTAGCGCTGGGGCTGTTGGTGACACTGGTCTTTTCCCTTCAGCCTACAGCCTGGCTGGCGCCATGTGCCAGGGGCTAATCACCGGCTGTGTCGTGCCCGGCAGGGGCACAAGCCTCTGAGGGGTCTGATCTTGGTCCAACTCGCTGCCGAGGGCAGCTGGGGAGACACAGGGGCTGCTGGAGCCCGAGTAAAGGAGATACCGAGCTCGGCCTTAGGAAAGGCCACACCTAGCAAGGAAATAGCTTCCTGCCTATCATGCAGTGAGCTGGGTGCTGATTGGCCGAGCTTTCCTCCCACCGGGGTGAGAGCAAATTCACCGGTTTGCCCTGGTAGAGCCCTGGGGGTTTGGTAGGGAAACTGAGGCACAGAAAGGGGACAGAACATGCCCTGTCCTAACTGCCCTCCCCCAGTGCCGTGCTCTGGTCCTGGAGCACCAAAGTCTTCTCTTTTTCTGCTGGAGACTCTCCCCAATTTCCCACCATGGGATCCATCAAGACATCCCGAAGGGGGCCTGCCTAACCCATCGAACCAGCTGTGATGTCTCTTGACCCAGCATCAGGGCCAACCAATTTGTGTTTTCATCCTAAGTAGATATTTTTTCCCCAAAATAGCAAATAGGAATTTTGTTTCCCTCCGTCTTTGGACAAAATCGATCAGGTTTTCATTACAGAGGAGCAGCCAGATTCACAGGGCAATTGGGGTTTTCCTGCAATCCCCAGCTGCCGGGGGCAGGGTATCGCTGCGCTGTGTTAAACCAAAGCAGCGCACACCCAGCCCTCGTGTTTCTGGCCCTTGCACCTGGAGTGGGTGAGGGGATCTTGAAAACAGCTCCAAAGACTGGCAAATAAATATATAGAACCCCTCTTCTTTAGTGTGTGTGGGGGAATATCTGAGGGGCCGGCTCTCCTTCCCTGGGTTAGCTTGTGCCTGTAAATGTCCTGGTCACGGTGCCGGGGCTGTGAACTGCCGAGTCCAGAGGTGCCGGGGCTGTGAACGGCCGAGCCCAGAGGCACCGGGGCTCTGAACTGCCGAGTCCAGAGGTGCCGAGGCTGTAAACGGCCGAGCCCAGCGGTGCCAGGGCTCTGAACTGTGGGGCCCGGAGGTGCTGGGGCTTTGAACTGCCAGGCCCGGAGGCGCTGGGCTCTGAATTGCCAGGCCCGGAGGTGCCGGGCTATGAACTGCCAGGCCCAGAGGTGCCAGGCCCAGAGGTGCCGGGGCTCTGAACTGCCAAGCCCGGAGATTCTGGGGCTCATTCCTGGCACAAATCAAGCACTGGATGGGCTAGTTTGGGGAAAACACCCTACACACACCCACACACACACACACCCACACACACACACACACACACACACACACACTCTTACCTGGCCAAATCTTCGCTTCTCTCCGTGAAGCCAAAATTTTGTCTGATACACAAAAGTGAAACTCCCCGTTTCTCTTATGTGCTTGTAGTCAACAGCCCGGCTGGTAGGGGTGTGAACGTGGGTGGGGCTGCCCTGCTGTTTGCAATTTTTTGTATTATCTGCCTATGGTTTCATGTGTTCCAATGGGCTCTAAATCCAGAACAAACCGAGGTGACTCTCTTGAACTTGAGACTGTAGCCAGCAGAGCTCAACCCACAGAAATATGATTAACATTAAATAGAGTAAAAGACGACATGGGTCACCCCTCCCCCCTGCCTCTCTCTTTCCAGGACGGATGTTTTTGGGGTGTGGGGGAATGTGGGGCAATCGGGGAGCAATGGGGAGGTGATAGCGGGGAGCAGGGTCCTGGAGGAATGGGAGGAGAAGGTGATGAGTTGGGAGGGGGGATCCCAGTTCAGAGATGTGCCGGTCCCCACCCCCACCCCATCCCCTCTCCCCCCACAGATGGCTGAGACGTTTGCAGCGATGAGACAGGAGGAAAACAGCAGAGCAGTAGAAGCCGCCAGGCAGGAATATGAACAATTCGGTGAGCACAGAGGGGCTGGAGGTCGGGATTCAGGGCAGGGTGACCAGATGTCCCAATTTTATAGGGGCAGTGCTGATATTCGGGGCTTAGTGTAATAGAGCTGCCTAATACCCCCAACCCTCTCTCCCGATTTTTCACACTTGCTGTCTGGTTACCCTAATTGAAGGGCACTGGTAGAGCAGTGGGGAGGAGCCCAGGGCTGCGATAACCAGGGTCTGCGGGTCAGGAGTGAGGGGCACCGGCAGAGGTGTGGGGAGCAGGGCTGGGATAGCAGGGGCTGCGGGTGTGGGAGGCAGCAGCACCCCCTGTGGCTGGGATACGCTAGTGCCCGTCCCTAACGGCCGATCTCTCCCCGTTCCCGACAGGACCGTGGCCACCAGAGCATGTGCAGCTGCCTGAGGGTGAAGCCCACACAGATTCAGCGACGCCTGGAGGGGAAACACCAGGAGCTGCTGGAGCGCTGCCGGGGGGAGCTGCGGGGCCAGGACCCCCAGAAACAGGCGGCCCTGGAGGCACTGGAGCAGGAGCTGGGCAGGCAGTCTGGCCAGTTCCTGCTGGCCTACGGGCAGCACTTCAAGAAGAGTTTGCGCCTGGCTGCCGCTGTGGTTGTGGTGCAGGAAGCGGTGGCCATCGGAATCAGGGTAGGGATGTTATCCACACAAAATTCTCTGTCCCTCACATACTCTACAGGCACCCACCCTTACCCGGTCTGAGGGCCCGGCTTAGCCTTTACACTCTGTGGGTTTTCGGGGTCTTTTCCCAGTGAACAATCACCAAGAACAGACTGCACATTCTAAGCATACAAGTCTCACCACTCCCAATAAGACAGATGAACTTTTCTTGAGGGCCACTCAGGATGAGGTCCATCTGGGGGGACTCCAGTTTCTGCACGGTGTCATTGGCAGAGAGTTGAGGTCTGGCCGCTCTGGTCTTGGGGCTGTGTCCTGGAGTTGGTTCCCAAAGAACTTCCCTTTGGCAGGGCCGGCTCCAGGCACCAGCGAAGGAAGCAGGTGTTTGGGGCGGCCAATAGAAAGGGGCGGCACTCCGTCCGTTATTGGGGCGGCACATCCGGGTCTTCGGCGGCAATTCGGCGGCGGGTCCTTCAATCCCTCTCTTCCTCGTCGGCGGCACTTCGGCGGCAGCTCAATCGCTCCGCTTCACTCTTCGGCGGCAGCTGAATCGGTTTTTTTGTTTGTTTTGGGGTTTTGTTTTTTCTTCGCCGCTTGGGGCGGCAAAAAAGCTGGAGCCGGCCCTGCCCTTTGGACCCCAGTTTATATAGTGAAACTTGAGTCCTGCTTAGCTATAATTTAACCAATCATTATACTGAAATTTTACTAACCAATCCTAACATAGCAAAATGTAATTCTCTCACCAATTGCATCCCACCACCTTAATTGATTTACACCTAACAAAATTAATTATACAGTGGACAGAAATCATCAAAGAACCAGAGATCATGCAGACAAACAATAGGACAGAGGGGACCATAAAGACAAAACAATCAAGAAATGAGGATTTCACAAACCCCGCTAGTGAGAAGTGATTTCTTGTCAGACAGGATTTCTCTCAAGCCAAGTTTTCTTTAACCATCTTGAGATCTGTTTCTTTATCTGGTGATAGTGGGGGCCATTAGGACGGGGTCTCCTTCTTAACAGCTTGAGCTTCCACTATTTTAATGTCATTTAGATAGAATGTGAGGATGTGACTTCCTGATCCTCAGCTAATGGCGGCCGCTCTTTCAATCCGGCTGCAGACTAAGGCCGTGGGCTTTTAGGCCTGACAATATGGCTACAGGAAAAGGGCCTGATCCCTACAGGGGGCCTTGGCTTGATTGGGGGGGCTGTGGGCAGGCAGGTGAGGGCCTGCTTAGCACAGAGGGTTGCTCCGAATGGGAAAGGCACCAACGCCCCAGGGCAGTAGGATGAACGGGAGGGCAGTGCAGGGAGTTCGGATCAGGAGCCCCTGCTGCAGGGGATGCATAATGGGGAGGAAACATCATGTTGGATTAAAGAAAAGATGCCTCTCAGCCAGCCTGCCAAGGCA